GAGAGAGAGAGAGAGAGAGAGAGAGAGAGACGTCTTAGGATTAACCATATTCAACACACGTTTTTTGTTGTTTTGTGTGAACACCGAGGCCATCGCCGGCGAGGGTGAGAAGGAGGATAAGCGGCAACACAAATATGATGCCTCGCAAACAAAGGAGATGGACCTATTGTGGTATTGAGTGATGGTTGTTGAGTTAAGAGCGTGTGTTATGTTTTCTCTCCCGTTGCAACGCACGGGCTCTTTTGTTAGTAATGTAAAGAAACATGTTTTGGTTTTCTTTGATTATATTTATGATAACATGGGTAGTTCATTAAGTTTACGATTGGTGAAGTCTTTATATGCTCCACTGTTATACGATTGGTGAAGTCATTGTATGCATCTCGTTATTACTACTGAAACAATGCATATTTCCCGGTGCACAATTTTTATCATGAACCCTAATATACATCTGAAGTCAGTTTTTTAGGGATAAAAAATCTGACACCCTCAGGTACGTCGGATCCGGATCGAATGCATGATTATTACTTGCTGCAATGTGGCAATTTTACTCCCAATTTTTTACCCTACATGGCAATTTTCATTTTAGAACACCTGCGGTGACTTCATAAAATCTGAAGATGACATGCCGGTTCAGTTTCTCGGAGGTGCTCATCAGAGTAGGGTGTGTGTATATGTTCATAAGGGTGAATGTATGCATGTATATATAAGCGCTTACGTCTGTACCGTGTTAAAAAAATCTAACACAATAGACAAACTATCTGTTGTCGGGCAAATAATAAAACTTAAAAGGAGTGTTAAATAATGAACAACAAGACTGCTAGATTCACGGAAATCATTTCCTTGGCCGTTGGATCAGATGGAGGTGCTGTTGGGGATGCCCTTGCGCATGACACCGGGGCCGGGCTGCGAGAATGGTTTCATGAGCTCATACGGCACGATGCCAGCGCCGCACCGATTCTTGAGCATTCTGTTCTCGTTCCTTTCCTTGATGACCCCCTCCGCCACCTTCAGCTCGTCGTTGAACCTCGTGTACGCCGCCCGCACCGCGGTGTCATCGCCCCACGGCGCGGTCTCCATCCCTCCGAGGTACTCCTCGTCGGGGGAGTGGCTGGACAGCACCTCCAGCACCGCCATCACCACCGTTGCCTGCACCTGCGACGGGAAGCATTCCCGGAGCGCCTCGTCCGGGTTGTCGAGGAATTTCTTCAAGGCGGCGTCGTCCACGGGCTCCTCCACCGGCATCTTGGTACGCGCGATCGAGGGGCGGTTCGGGAAGTACCCCCCAAAGTCATACTGCCCGAAGTTGACCGCCGCGTGGTGCGCCGCCGCGACCCAGATTATTGTGGTGAGCGTGTGCGCGAGGGTCTCCGGCGTGTCCAGCTTAGGCCACCACGGCGCCTCCTTCTTGTCGCCGTGTCCCTCGGTGCGCACCTCCGTCCAGAACGCCTGCAGCTCCTCGTCTTGTGTGACGCTGTCGTCGTCCGGGTAGTACCGGGAAACGTACGCCTGAACCCACCCCTTGATGGCGTCCCAGATAAGGAGCCCGTCGTTGGCGAACGGGTAGTCTTTGATGGCCAACCTGAGGCCGTGCTCCGCCGTGGGGTCCTCCTCTGCCATGCCCCTCCGGACGAGGTCCGCTGGGAGGGCCTCCGTGTCGAAGCGCCAGAGCTTGTCGTAGGCCACGGAGCTGAGCTCCATGCCGTACCTCTGAGGTGAGAAGGTACTCTCGATGATGCCGCCGCCGTTGACCAGGAAGGAGCGTGCGAGCGCGTTGATCCGCATGGTGTAGCGGAAGTGCGGGCGCAGGAGCTGGTAGACGGGATGCATCTCGCTGAGCTGCCTGTTTGCCGCGAGGATGTAGGGCTCCACGGCGCAGTGCGTGCGCAGCCAGTGGGTGACGAGCTCGTGGTGGCCGGCGTCGTGGGCACGAACGTGGGACTTGGCCATCCGCCATAGCCAGGACTTGGTGGTGTCCGTGGACGAAGTGAACACCTGCCTCCACTGCGGCGTCGTCGGCGAGGCCGGCCGGGTGAGCTCGATGGCGAGGAGGTGCAGCGTGCCGTCGTCGGTAAGGAACAAGATGGTGCGGGAGCCATACATGGTGGTGTGCTCCAGGGCACGGATCCTGTGCACGTACGGCAGGAACAGGTCGTGGAAGTCGAGCATGAACAGTCTCTTCTTCTCCACCGCCTCGGCCACCGTCATGGTGTGCCCCATCTGCGCCTCCAGCAGCTCGGCGGTGATAGCCGACTCCGCCGGCCCGTACTTTGCCGGGTCCAGATTGCTCTTGAGGGGAAATTCCCTGACAAGCTCGATGGCGTATGGGTTGATGCCGGCGAGCGTCTCCCTGGCGAACTCCTCGTCACGTAACCACGCAAACTTGTCCTCTGCGGCATTCCGCAATTAACACGTACGCATACATTTAGGTTCGCGCAAAAACTCCATTAATTTGCTGGTCAGCCAATGAATTAGTAGTGCTTCGCATGTGGAAGTGGAAGGAGCATACTTTTGACATTTGCGGGGCGCTGGAAGAGGAGAAGCTTGTCGCCAAGGCCGTCGCGGAGGAACTGAAGGAGGCGCGGCACGGCGCTGCGGAGGAAGCCGACCTCTCGAGTGCGCGGCAGCACGACACCGTCCTCGAACAACTTGTCGATGACGAAGAAGGAGGGGAAGCCTTGGTTGCGGTCGATGAACGTGGACTGCACGGCCGGCACCACGGCATGGAGCACCGACTGCAGCGTCTTCACCTTGAACTGCACGTTCTTCTCCTCCGAGAACGCCTCGTCCCTCGGCACGTACACGTCGCCGCTCCTCGTCTCCGACTGCCGATCTGCACGTACCCATGCCACGCCACGCACGAGTTACAACTTACAACCTCTAGTACGAGCACGCGTGCATGCATGAGGTTTTGTCGATCGTGTACGTGCGTATACCTTTGATGGATCGGGGGCGGCCGGTGCGGCAGCGCCGTGGGTAGGGGAACTTCTGGTTACCGCCGATAACGGGGCGGGCGCCGACGGCACCGGGTTCCTCGCCGGAGCCGAGATCGTTGTACACGTCGTAGTCGTAGACCCGGTCGTTGGCCGTCCTCTGCCCCATGCCGTCACCGCGCTTCTTCACGAGGTCGTTCTTCCGGTAGTTCTGGAGGCCAGGAGGAGTTTGGCTCGGCAGTGAAGGCTGGACGGTTGGTACGTACGTTGATCAACAGTTCAGCATTGACAAATTTCAATTGCAAAATGGCTTGACAGGGTCCTGAATCACCTTGTTGGCGAAGAAGATGCGCTTGGCGTCACCGGACTTGGGCGGCAGCCAGGAGTCGCAGCGGATCACGTGGGGCTCCGAGTCCGAGTTGCCACCGCCGATGAGCTTCACGTCCTTGAGGAACATCTCCGTGTCGTGCTCGTTGGTGACCAGCACGGCGCCGACGGAGCCGAAGCCCGCCGGCACGTCGAAGCCTGCTTCATAGGTGACGATGTGACGGTCCTTGTCGGACACCTTGCGGGCATAGCTCTTGATCGTCTGTTTCTCCTTCCCCGTCTCTGCATTCGATCAATTTTGTTATTTTTAGTGAGTTTAATTTTTGCAATCAGATGTATACTAGGTGATGACCATGCATCAAACAAGCAAAATGGATCGATATTAGTCAGGACCGTGAATGAGGGTCCTCTGCTCGCCGTTCGTTCAGAGCAATGGGCTTTTATGTTTTCCTGCGACGCCGGCAAGTGGGACAAGGTGCTGCGCGTGTGAGGTTGGTGGCCCGGTGGCGGCGGATTTGGTGTTTTTCCACAGCAACGATGGCGGAATGCGTTAAACCTGAATCCAACACGGCGTGCAGAATGTCCCACATTGTCAGGTACATGTTTTGCGGGTCTTGTCTTCGGCTCACAAGTCACAACTCCTTCAAAGTTATGGGGTTGGATTCTCAAAAAAAAAGTTATGAGGTATGCCTTGATTTCAGTTTGCTGG